GGGGGGGGGGGGGGGGGGCATTGTTATCACTGTGATGCTGCAGTAACACTCCTGTGTACTGTGTTATCTCATTGTTCTGTGGAGACTGCTGTTTACATTTACCACTGAAATAATAATGATCATGTATTTATACAACTTTATGGTATTTATTGCTTTTTTGTAGAGAATTGGATTAGAGGTTGTTTTTTTTTTGGAGGGTGGGTGTAGATGCTAAATATAATTCTTAATAAATGAAAGATTCACACTGAAACACAAAGTTCATCTTAACAAGTTATTTTTGACCATTTCTGAGCCTGAAAATGTGTTAAATGAGTTTTCCAGCTCTGATCTGATCATTTGGACGTTTCTTTAAATCCCGAGTGTCTATATTAGACCCGGAAGATGAATCCATTCAACTCATTCGTTAATTAATTGATTGCAGCTATTTTGCTTCGTCTTGTTTTCAGGCACAAATGTTCTTTCGCCTGCTGCATAAAACTGTAACTCTGAAAATCTTTTGGGGTTTGTTTTTTTTTTGAAAAGTTGATAAAATTGTTAAAATCTAAATTCACAATTCTCAATTTAACTCCAATCTCATATCGTTATAAAAATAATAATTATTAATGGACAAAAATGACTTGATAAGATGCATTGATTAGATAATTGTCCCAGCAGCCGTAGCACAGCCTGGGACACATGGATGGGTTTGAACGTCTCTGACACACGTGCAGGTACAGATTCACTGTCGCTCATGTCACCTGACAAACTCATCATGCATAAAACATGTTTAACGGATTTACACGTCGGTCTTTTTTTCTTTTTTTTTAACACGCACTCACACACAGGTTCTGTCCGTGTTGGTAGAGAGTGGGGAAGGGGAAACGTATGTGATGTTATGGGATCGAGGTGAGTTTCAGGTCCACGTCGGACGCTGATGTAGAAATGTCAGAAATATGTAGAATCACACACACACACACACTCACACACACACACACACACACACACACACACACACACACACACACACACACACACACACACACACACACACACTCTTGTGTTGAGGCATTGTTTAAGATGTTGTCGAGGTTAGTGTGCACAGTGTGAAAGTTGTGCTCAGAGTTTTGATTTTCTCCTCAGTCATCGTCTGACCCTGTTGATTCCTGGAATCATTTCTGGCCTCTGATGTGGTTTCGACCCCAAACGAGTTTCTTTTCTGAGCTGCTTTTTTATTTTATTTTTTCATTGTGATTCGTCATCTCACTCGGTCTCATCGGTTCAGTATCCAGCGTGATGTTTTCTCTTTGATTTACAGTTTTTTTTTATTTATTCTGACCATGTCGTCCATTTAAAAACCCGGACGACTGTTTTCTGTCCTGTCGACCTTGTTGTTTTACTCCTCAGTGAACGAGGCGAGGCAGCTCGTGGTTATCACGGTGTCTTGAAGGATGTTTGATAAACGTGAGACAGAATGAAGACGAGTGCGGGATGGACCAGTGTTTCTGTTGAAAAGGAAAAACTGGGTTTGAAAAAAGTTACCGGTGCCTTTAGAAAACTTTTCTTTTGATAGAATGCTCCATTTGTTCTTTCTTACAATGTGTAAATACTTACTTGTTGTTTGTTGTGTATAATTTTGTAATTTACTACTTTGTTGTACTAGACCTGTGTAATAAATTAAGCCTTTTATAAATGTCATCATCAATTGACTCATTTCAGGGGATTTGGTGTAATTTTACATTCTTACCATCAATTTCTTTAGGTTATAATATAATTTGAGTA